GTTGATTCTTTAGTTAAAGTCAAATACAATCCTATCAGTGCAGTTCAATGCAGCATGAATTGATATGGAAGAGACCTTGGTCACAGATAAATGTATCCCAATGAATAGATATACACTATGCCTGTCGGGGAGATTCACCACTGTAACGGATCACCTGGCACCCCGACTGGGTATCTCCTTTGATGGATGCTCCTAGTGCTTCTTGAGGATTTCAAGCACTCTAGCCGACACCACAACCACGGAGGTACCCAGTCTGCACTGTTGTGGAGCTTACTGTCTCCCCTGGTGGGCTAAGCTGCTGCTGCAGAGAGGGGGTAACAAGCAGGGCCGGACTGGCCCACCGGGATACCGGGAAATTTCCCGGTGGGCCGTCGGCACCTGGGGCCGGGCAGACACCTTGGTCTGCTGGCGGCCACTGGGGAGGTCTTCTGGCGGCCGCTGGGGGACTTGTCCTGGCGGCCGCTGGGGGAGCTGCGCTGGCTCTGCTCCCCAGCGCGCAGCTGAATGAGACAGGCGCCGGAATATGACGTCATATCCGGCGCCGGTCTCATTCAGCAGCGCGCGAGGACGGGAGAGCAGAGCCAGCGCAGCTCCCCCCAGCAGCCGCCAGGACAAGTCCCCCAGCGGCCGCCAGAAGACCTCCCCAGCTGTAAAAGTTCCCCAGCGGCTCACAGAAGACCTCCCCAGCGGCCCACAGAAGACCTCCCCCTGGCCAAACCTCTCTTCCTTCAGAGAGAAGCAGGAACAAGCTATTAAAAGAGCTTAGGAGTGATTACAGCAAGGGAATAAGCTAAGCATAGCAATCCCTTGTAGCAGATTCCCCCAATAAGAGACAGGACTCCAAATTGAGGGTGAAGTAGAACTGTCTAAATTGTTATTTTACTTGGAACTAGCCCATATGGTCATTACATTAACATTGCTGTGAAAACTCAATAAAATTACAAACAGTCAAATCATAGCAGGCAACATACAGTGACTTATTATAACATAATTACATATTTATAAATGGGTGGGGAAGACCATAATTAACACAAAATGTCTCTCCCGCATGCAGAATTAGCAATATGCAAATCTACCCGAATATGCAAATTACCAGTCTTGCTATTCAGGTAGTGCATATTACTGTTGCTACGAACAGAGGGCACTATACAAGCTCCATAGCCAAATCCACCTAGTTGGTAGCAATCCTCAGCAGTACAGGAGAGCAGGCAATACATCCCAGGGGCCATAGTCACATTGCAAGAGTCTGGCAATCAGTCTTCTCCAATGCCCAGTGACGAGGCTGGTTCCGCCACAACAACGTGCGTTCCACTTTGATTCAGTATGCGTTCCACTGCGTTTCGTAACGTCCTGTCACTTCATCAGAGGAATGCATCTTTTGTATACCGATGGATTTTTATACCCCTTCGGCAGTGTTATCATTCGGATGGGGTTAACCCTTTCATCACTCTTAGATGGCACATATAGCTTATACTTATACAGATATAACTGACAAAAAATATGTTCATAATAGCAACAGTATACTGTAATATATGTTCTTGATATTAAAACCATTATAATAAAATGTGAAATAAGAATAACCATGAGATGATAAAGTTGTAAAATTGTCTCTACATAAAAAATTAAATTAACAAATTAAAGTGGCCGCCATTCGACATTCAAACATGTGACGGCGGCCATTTTATTCAGTCGGTCAGCTGTGTTTTGTCGTTGAGTTCATGGAACTCAAATCAGACACACGACGGCACGAACACCACTGAACTTTACCTTCTTCAGAACTTGGACAGGAGTCGAACAGCGTTCGACAATTCGAACGGCACTTTGACACTGACGATGTGCACGAACGGTCCCTGGTCGACTATTTGAATGGAACTTAGACATTGAAAATAGACCGGCTGCACAGCCTAATTCTCTGGAACTGTTTGGGGCATGAAAATGTGTGTGCGGTCAGTCAAAAGAGAATTCCAGGAATTTCCTGAACCCCTGCTCTGATCTGGGTGATTTTTGCATATGTTGTTTACCCAGATCAGGGCTATCCAGGGATGTATGGGGATATGTTGGAGTTTTGGGGTGTTTCTGTACTTTGGGTAAAAAAAAGTGTGTTTTCTGCCTGTGGATAATTAAGTTAGTACATTATCTACCTTAATTATATCAAAGGCAGAGGGGAGGGCTTGCTGACTGTATGTGGGAGTGTTACAGTGCTAATATGTTCCCATTGGTTTATGTTCCTTGTGTCCCTGTTTTTCATCAGGTCCAGGGGTGTGCCTCTGGCCTGAAAAACTGTATATATTACAAGCTGTGGCAATAAACCTTCAGTTCTACTTCACCCTCAATCTAGAGTCCTGTCTCTTCTTGGGGGAATCTGCTACAAGGGATTGCTATGCTCTTCATACTCGCTTGAATAATCACTAAGCTCTTGTAAGAGCTTGTTCCTGTTCCTGCTTCACTTTCTGGGGAAAAAGAGATTCACCCACTGGAACCTGGAGCCTTGTCGTAGGTCCAGGGTGGGTAGGAGATGGCGAGACCCAACCAAGCTGCGGCAGTTTGTGGGGTCTGCAGTATTTATGGTGTCAGGTGCGGTGCTGATGGTCCTTGGTTAGCACTAGGAGCATCCGTCTACGTTCCAACCCTCAGCTAGCCTGGGGTAACCGTAACAGTCCACCTGGGTGGTAACCTTGTGGGGAAAACTGTATAAAAGGCAGTGTGCCACAATAAACCTTCAGTTTCTGTTTTACCCTCAACATAGCGTCTCTGTCTCATGTGTGGGGGAAAAGACTGCATCTACACTGGGGATTGCTATACTCTGTTTACTCCCCTGGTTTTAATCACTAAGCTGTTTTAAGAGCTGTTCCTGCTACTCTCTCTTGGAGGAGAGGTTCACCCACTGGAGCCTTGTCGTGGTCCAGGGTAGGAAGGAGACGGCGAGTTCTCAGCCAAGCTGTAACACTGGGCGTGGGGACTGTAGTGCTGATGGTGTCTGGTGGAAAGTTTGGAGTCCTTGGTGAGTACTAGGAGCATCTGTCGGCGGAGGTACCCAACCGGGGTACAGGAAGCTCCGTTACAGCGTACTGTTCGGGGAGTGCAGGTTATAGAAGGCTGGAGAGAGCGTACTGCTCAGGGAGTTCAGGTTATAGAGAGCAAGAGAGAGCATACTGCTCAGGGAGTGTAGGTTATAGAGAGCAAGAGAGAGCGTACTGCTCAGGGAGTGCAGGTTATAGAGAGCTGGAGAGAGCGTACTGCTCAGGGAGTGCAGGTAATAGAGAGCTGGAGAGAGCATACTGCTGAGGGAGTGCGGGTTATAGAGAGCTGGAGAGAGCGTACTGCTCAGGGAGTTCAGGTTATAGAGAGCCAGAGAGAGCGTACTGCTCAGGGAGTGCAGGTTATAGAGAGCAAGAGAGAGCGTACTGCTCAGAGAGTGCAGGTTAGAGAGAGCTGGAGAGAGCGTACTGCTGAGGGAGTGCGGGTTATAGAGAGCTGGAGAGAGCGTACTGCTCAGGGAGTTCAGGTTATAGAGAGCCAGAGAGAGCGTACTGCTCAGGGAGTGCAGGTTATAGAGAGCAAGAGAGAGCGTACTGCTCAGAGAGTGCAGGTTAGAGAGAGCTGGAGAGAGCGTACTGCTGAGGGATTGCGGGTTATAGAGAGCTGGAGAGAGCGTACTGCTCAGGGAGTGCAGGTTATAGAGAGCTGAGAGAGCGTACTGCTCAGGGAGTGCAGGTTATAGAGAGCTGGAGAGAGCGTACTGCTCAGGGAGTGCAGGTTATAGAGAGCTGGAGAGAGCGTACTGCTCAGGGAGTGCAGGTTATAGAGAGCTGGAGAGAGCGTACTGCTCAGGGAGTGCAGGTTATAGAGAGCTGGAGAGAGCGTACTGCTCAGGGAGTGCAGGTTATAGAGAGCTGGAGGCGTGCACACTCAGAGGTACGAGGTTATAGAGAGCTGGAGAGAGTGTACTGCTCAGGGAGTGCAGGTTATAGAGAGCTGGAGAGAGCGTACTGCTCAGGGAGTGCAGGTTATAGAGAGCTGGAGAGAGCGTACTGCTCAGGGAGTGCAGGTTATAGAGAGCCAGAGAGAGCGTACTGCTCAGGGAGTGCAGGTTATAGAGAGCTGGAGAGAGCATACTGCTGAGGGAGTGCAGGTTATAGAGAGCTGGAGAGAGCGTACTGCTCAGAGAGTGCAGGTTATAGAGAGCTGGAGAGAGCATTCTGCTGAGGGAGTGCGGGTTATAGAGAGCTGGAGAGAGCGTACTGCTCAGGGAGTGCAGGTTATAGAGAGCTGGAGAGAGCGTACTGCTCAGGGAGTGCAGGTTATAGAGAGCTGGAGAGAGTGTACTACTCAGGGAGTGCAGGTTATAGAGAGCTGGAGAGAGCGTACTGCTCAGGGAGTGCAGGTTATAGAGAGCTGGAGAGAGCGTACTGCTCAGGGAGTGCAGGTTATAGAGAGCCAGAGAGAGCGTACTGCTCAGGGAGTGCAGGTTATAGAGAGCTGGAGAGAGCATACTGCTGAGGGAGTGCAGGTTATAGAGAGCTGGAGAGAGCGTACTGCTCAGAGAGTGCAGGTTATAGAGAGCTGGAGAGAGCATTCTGCTGAGGGAGTGCGGGTTATAGAGAGCTGGAGAGAGCGTACTGCTCAGGGAGTGCAGGTTATAGAGAGCTGGAGAGAGCGTACTGCTCAGGGAGTGCAGGTTATAGAGAGCTGGAGAGAGTGTACTACTCAGGGAGTGCAGGTTATAGAGAGCTGGAGAGAGCGTACTGCTCAGGGAGTGCAGGTTATAGAGAGCTGGAGAGAGCGTACTGCTCAGGGAGTGCAGGTTATAGAGAGCCAGAGAGAGCGTACTGCTCAGGGAGTGCAGGTTATAGAGAGCTGGAGAGAGCATACTGCTGAGGGAGTGCAGGTTATAGAGAGCTGGAGAGAGCGTACTGCTCAGAGAGTGCAGGTTATAGAGAGCTGGAGAGAGCATTCTGCTGAGGGAGTGCGGGTTATAGAGAGCTGGAGAGAGCGTACTGCTCAGGGAGTGCAGGTTATAGAGAGCTGGAGAGAGCGTACTGCTGAGGGAGTGCGGGTTATAGAGAGCCAGAGAGAGCGTACTGCTCAGGGAGTGCAGGTTATAGAGAGCCAGAGAGAGCGTACTGCTCAGGGAGTGCAGGTTATAGAGAGCTGGAGAGAGTGTACCTTCTTTATGTTACATGAGTTGATAATGATGTCAGTTTATGCAGGTTTGTCCATGGGTAAATTCCTACACAGTTCATATTGCAGTTTATGGACACTGAAGAGTTAAGTATCCTGTTGGCGATATTTTGGTTCTTGTACTGGAAAGTAGGTTATATTAAAGTGACAGATGAGGTACAGTTTCACCTTCACACCAGCCCCGCACACCTGGGAATAAACAAGGAGGGGGTGTTTCACAATCCCCCACTCATGATCAGCGGACTCTGGCTGTATCGCTGCAGTAGAAATGAATCCCGGGTGACGCAGTGTTCATTACTGGGGTCAGCGAGGGATTCATTCTTTCCTGACGCAGCTGACAAGCAGTTTGATTAGCTGTTAGCTTTTCCTAAAATCAATCCATGTGAATAAAAATTAATAATAAGAAAAAGCAAACAAGATAATTATACATGAAAAATAAGATATTCAAATGTAATACTGACTGAACGTTATGGTGGATGCAAAATCCTTTCATTTTTCTGTTACATTGTTCTCTGTGTGAGCCGTTCTGTGCAGTAATCATTATGTAAATAGCCTTATTAATAATTATTATTGTCAGCGGTTATATGGCGCCAACCTTTTATGCAACATTTTACATTTATAATTACAGCAAGTAACAAACAAAGACACCAGAGATGAAGAAAGCCCTGATCAAAGGAGCTTACAGTCTATGAGTTAATGATTGCACACTCCAGTTTCCTTTGAGTACTCTATTCAAAAAGTAGAGTGTGATTATTATAGAGATAATTTTCAGAACCCACAAAACAAATTGCTTATTTGGAACACTGTAAACATTCCCATCGCCTGCCACTGCTGAGATATGAAATCCCACAACACTAAGCCAGCCGAAACCAGAGCCATAGCATCTGTAGTGTTCGCTAATTGATAATCCTGAGTATAAAAAACTTTGATCACGCTGATTTATTTCAATATTAATGCAGAAATACAGAAAAAGACTAATACAGAATAAAAAGCCAGCAGCTGACAGCAGCAGTACTTTCAATATGTCAGCGACATTAATACACTTTCACCCAAACAGAGACACCAGTATTTTGTGCATCAGGAAATACTTGAACATTTTATGTTTCGAAAATAAAAACTAGGGCAATTTAGCAGCCGCAGGCAAACTGAACCCTGGGTTATCTTTCAGCCCAAATGATTGTCTTCCTGTGGGATTAGCCCAGGCATTCAGACATTGTCAGATCTTCTGCACATTTCCGTCAATTTGATTTATAATACTGGCCCATACTTTACGATATGAATATATTGAATCTTATTAACTAGCTGGAAAGGGACGTTATCCCCTTAATATCGCTCACATCGCGTATGTAGAGCACAACCATCTATGCTGTGTGCATAGGTTTGATATGCTAGCATCTCTTCATGATGTCTTTGCACCAAACTTTATACAAATGTACTTCTTTGAGCTTGGAAAAGGTATGCAGTTTTAAAGACTCATTTGACATGGGCTTTTCAATCCAACTTAGACCACGGTTCTCAAAGAAACTCCTTCACAGACACTTAGTCCCGAGTTCATTAATGGGGATGGGAAACTTAAATACTGGACATTGAGCTGGATGGTGATAATAGAGTTTGCTAGTATGTACACTGTTCCATCAACCCAAACACCTATTTTACACTTTTGATGCTCTTCTTCGCCCTTTTACTCCCCCTCCTTGTCCGCCACAAACTTTGCATCTCACTTCACTGGGAAGATCTCTACAATCAGAGAAGAGATTGCTAATTTCTCTCCTTCCCCTACCAATACATCACCCAAGCCCACTCCCTCCACCATTCTACACTGTCTTCTCATTATCTCTCTCTGCCCATCTTGACTTGTGTCTCTGACTGCCTCTCTGTACTTTCCAACTGGATGGCTGCTCACTTCTTTAAACTCAACCTGTCCAAAACAGAACTTCTGGTCTTTCCTCCCTCAAGTGTTACTACTCCCGTGTATGCCTCCCTCCAAGTCAACGGTGCTATCATCACCTCTACCTCGCAGGCTTGCTGCCTGGGTGTTCTTTTTGACTCCAACCTCTCCTTCGCCCATCATGTCCAATCAATAGCCAAATCCTGTCGCTTCCATCTCAAAAACATAGCGTGCATCCACCCCTATTTAACGCCAGATGCGGCTAAGGTGCTGGTCCATGCGGTTGTTCTCTCTCGCCTTGACTACTGCAATCCCCTTCTCAGTGGTCTTACGTGTTCTTACATGTTCCCAGATTGCACTGCTGTAATCTATAATGAATGCGGCGGCGAGGCTCATTTTCCTGTCCGCTTGCACCTCCCACGCCTCCCTGCTCTGTCAGTCCCTGCATTGGCTTACAGTTACATATAGGGCTCAATTTAAAATTCTGGTGCTTGCTTACAAGTCCCTACATAATCCTGCTCCAACCTACCTATCCTCCCTAATACTCAAGTATGTCCAGTCGAGGCCACTATGCTCTGCCAAAGACCTACGTATATCCTCTGTCCGTACTCCCACATCTAATGCTCGCCTCCAAGATTTCTTCTGGGCTGCACCTCTTCTGTGGAACTCCCTTCCCTTCTCTGTAAGATGTTCACCCAGTCTCCACTCATTCAAAAAATCATTGAAAACTCACTTCTTCAAGAAAGCATATCATATAAACTGTTAGCAGGTTTTTATCCCCCACCCCCGATGACTCCTCTCCTGCAACTGCCAACTTTAAAATTATACATCACATTCCCATAAAACTTATATTTTCAGAATGAGCATAATTAGGTAACAAACATATTCAAAAATCATATGAATCTGTTCAGGAGTTCGGGAGATAGATGGAAGTCCCATTTCTGCCCGGCCGCATAAACTGAACGCATGGAACTAATTTGGACAGGAGCCTCGTGTGCGGCCGGGCATAAATGGGACTTCCATCTATCTCCTGAACCCCTGAATAGATTTGTATTATTTTTGAATATGTTTGTTTCATAATTATGCTCCTTCTGAAAATATAAGTTATGTTTAAAATACCGAACAGTCATTCTTTTTATTGTTCATGCCTTTGGTGGTCGTGTGCTGCCTCGTTCGTGTAATACTTTTACGGAACGCTGTCTTGTTCATGCAAAGCTAAGTGGTCCTGGAAGTCTCAGCGGGGTGTTTGGGAATTTGAGTGTCCGAAAATAGTTCCAGACACTCGACGAACAAACCCCGCTGGATGCGTTCGACAAAACAAGATGGCCGCCGCCACGTGTTCGTGCATACGAATCGACGGCCACCCAGTGAACCACTTAGAACATTTGCATTTTGTGGTTTGGCACAGAGTCAAGGAGTTAATTGGCGACACACACCTGGGCTGGGTGGTCTTTAGTTCGGCAGTTTGTTCGGTTATACGAACGGGTTAGCAGGGTTATTCGTTTTCCCATTTGTATATTCAGCATAACAACAGTTAGAAATACAGTAGTGACAATGTTCCAAGTCTTTTGGCCAGGCAATAATAGGGGATCTGTTACATCCCCTATAACCGAACCAACAAAGTGCTAACTGGTCCTTCGGAAAGCCCAACTGCTGCCCCTGAACTCGAGCTGCGGCCCTCCTCTCGGCCCAGAAAATGAATTAATGCCCAACGATCCAGGCGATTTTACCTAGGGAAACAAACAAAAACATCACCACCAACTCCATTCACTCCCAAGCCTCCCCCTTTAATCCAACATACCCAAACGCACATACGAACGGAACCTGACCGACTCCCATCTTTTAATCCTCTTGACTAAAGCCTCCCCCGAGCCCAACCGCGTGACTTCTGTAGCCGCCCCGATGCGGAAGGAATTATTATTTTATTATTTATATAGTGCCATCAGACTCCATAGCTCTGTACAATGGGTGGTCTAACAGACATGTAATTGTAACCAGACAACTGGATGTACAGGAACAGAGGGGTGGAGGGCCCTGCTCCATGAGCTTACATTCTAGAGGGAGTGGGGTATAGTGACACAAAGGGTAAAAGTAGGGGTACAAAGTAGGTTGTTAGGAAAGTATTAATTGAGGACTTAGTAGGTAATTTTTGACAGTTGTAGGGGAGGAGTCATGGAGGGTGGGGGATGAAAACCTGCTAACAGTTTAATTGATATGCTTTCTTGAAGAAGTGAGTTTTCAATGCATTTTTGAATGAGTGGAGACTGGGCGAAATTCTTACGGAGAAGGGAAGGGAGTTCCACAGAAGAGGTGCAGCCCTGGAAAAGTCTTGGAGGCGAGCGTTAGAGGTTGGATTACGGACAGAGGATAAATGTAGGTCTTTGGCAGAGCGTAGGGGCCTCGATGGGACATACTTGTTGTAGCGGAACGCCAATTATAAATCCACGAATTCCGCTGGTTCAGAAACGAATCCACAGTCAAGCGCTGAAAACCATAAGGCAATATCCCCAACCTCCCAGTAACCGGACGAGACACAGTTCTGAGAGTCAACTGAAACCTTTTAATCGGCAGGACAATTTATACAAGTCCCCATGCAAGGGGTTTCCTGAGTCCCTCCCCAGGGGCACTCCCAGAGGGGACTACATGGGGGACTTACATTACAGCATATTTCTCCCATCAGGCACCGCTGCACGAGAGGGATCATCTTCCCAGAATGCACCGTTAAGTGGATTATCCCCTCGTGCAGCAGAACCGACAATTCACACAAAAATCCATAACTTGGTGAATATACAGTGGATTCACACGAATGGACGTTCGGTAGATAGCTGGGGTCTGAGCGCATCATTCGTGAGATTACCGCTCAGATCCCAGCTAAAATAACCGAA